GACAGTCTCACGTCCCAGTCACTGCTCAACTGGCCATAAGAAAATAAAATCATTCAAATGGCAATTCAGTATTTGTGGCTAAACAGCACCTCATCAACTCCCAGTCTGCCACATTTGTTTGGAAAGAAGAGCCAGATTTCCAACACTCCCTGGGCAAAGAGCTCGCAGACTGAGAGACTGAAAAGGCTTTGAAAGAAATCTTCCATCAACAGTCTTTCTAAATGTCACAGCTAGCTCCCTGCTCCCTGAACGGCCCAGCTTACAACCCCTCCCCTGGGGCAGCAGTTAGCTTAGCCAAAAGCACCTGCCTAGCCTTTTCCTTCAGTTGTCATGAATTCATGGAGCTCATTTAAAACTAAGATGTTCTGACAGGCAGCCAGACTCTGGACTTTGGTCCTTCTTTCCCCTGCTTGTATCCTGCTTCAGTGTATCCCTATGGGCTAGAAAAGCTGTCCCAGGAAAGGGAGGGCTGTAAATACTGCAAAAACCCTTCACAGGGTAGACCCTGGCCTTCCCAGAGCTGAAGTGCTCCCACCTAGGCTTGCAGTGGCAAAAAAATAGTTGTTCCAGTGACTCTGTGTTGGGGGAGCTCCTCACGAGCGAATTTCTTTGGATGTCGGTCTAAGAAAGCTCACCTGCAGGAGGAAGGAATCCTAATAATCCAAGTGCTGGTGCCTGAAATGAGCGCTAGAGCTTGTTCCCTCCTGTGTAACATACTTGGTAACTGGCCCAAACTGTATTTATCCTCCAGCCTCAGCTGCCAGGCTCCTCCCAAGGGAAACCTGACATTCCTGTTGCACAGAAGTTCCTGACATTGCTGAGCTGAACATGTTACTTTGCATCTATTCTAGGAAAACTGATAACTCGTTTTTGAACAGGCCTTCCTTGCTCAGGTCAGCCAGGCCTGACCTAAACAAACAATCATCCTAGTCAAGACAAAGTCACAGCATAAAGAAGCCAAAAGCAACTTTGCTGAGGTAGTCAAGGCTGAGTTTCCTCTGTACTAGGCTGGACAGTGCCCACAATGAATGACCTCATACAAGATATTTCCCTAGAGCCTTACAGATGGTATAGTAACTACCCCAGCTATCCCAGTACTGGTTTAAATGATGCACTCATGTCAAACAGAATAGCCATACACATTGTTTCCATCCTGTACACGGAATTTCTGCAATCTTATAAAGGAAACAGATAACATAGGATGTGTTTTTACAAGGAAGAGAAGGAAAGGAGTGAAAGAGCCTGTGGATTTACAGACTTCATGAGAATGAACAACACATCAAGATCAGTGTCAAGCATCTATCACTTGAATACTGACAAGAGCAGAGCATTTCCAGAAAACTTCAAAGACAAACAGCCTTTAACAGATTTAAGAAAAAAGAATAAAAGCAGAGATGGCAAAGAAAAAGAAGAGACAGTGCATAAAAATGTCAGGAAGGGAGGGTGAAAGGAGAATGTGAGGAGGGGATTTCAGGTAAGCTCAAGAGACTACAGGAAAGGAAAATCTTAAATGAAGTGCCCCTACAGGAGAGGCAATACAAAAGTTTGTTTTCTTGAGCAGACAGGAATAGGTTAGACAGATGTAAACATTGCACAGTGGACATGTGGGGAGCAACTGGGCTGAAAGACACAGCCTGCCTTTCAGCATGCTACCTGCAGCCTCTCATGCTCTGGCCTTGCCATTAGGTTCCTCACATCCTTTCAGCTCTTTCTGCTCTGAAGGCTGGTGCAAAATATGCACACAACAGCCTAAGAAAACATCTAACATCTTACTCACAACACAAGTTGAGCTCCAAAGACAGGCAAGTGAGAAAAGGATCCTGCAAGCACCCTCCTGTCATACCATTTGATGAAAATACGCTTTTGTGCAATTCCAGGATGGTTTGTGGCAGGGGATTGCCAACTGTGTTCACGCAGTATGTGCAGAAGTCACCTCCTGCAGCAAGAAAGCCACCATGCCAGCATGGGGGGAAGCCAAGAAGCACTACCCTGGATCCACTGTCACTCTCACTTCTCGTCTCCAAGGCAGACATGAAGTCCCAGCTGTTCAAATAAGCAGAGAGGGGAAAATAAAGACCCCAGCAGAAAGCTCAACAGAAGCAAGGGTGCGTGGGATGTGGTTATGCCAGGACTGAGACTGGCCTGGAACTGAGGACTTGGCCCCTCCAACAGATCTCTCTCCTGCAGAGGAATGATGTGTGCACAAGGAACAAGGGACTGGTGACTCTATCTGACTCCTTAGCACATAACATGAGTTTCTCTGGGAAGTCTCCAAGCCAAATCAGGCTGAAGGATGGCTCCTGTTGCTTCTTAACTGAGTTATAACAGTCCACTTTCTCCTTTAGTGCTCTGTTTGCTCCCCAGTATCTCTGCAGCAAGGAGAGTCACCAGTAGGTTTTTGCACCTCATCTTGTTTCCTGTGATGGATTCTCTACAGCAGGACAAACTAATGAAGGATGCACGTGCTTTAGCAGCTTTCTTTGCTAAAATGCAGTGTATAAACCAGTCTTGAGAATCAAATCACCTCCATATCAAGCACAATCCTGAATATGTGTCTATGAGAAGAGAACTTGCCCTGTGACTGCCGTGGAGATCCTATCAGACACTACCAGAGAGTGACGTATTTTAATTCACTTCCTTTATACTACAAGAATTCTGTAAATGGTGAATAAATAATATGCTAAATGCTAACTAAATACTACCAGTTTAAAACTTATGGGGATATGCTGAAAACAAATGGAGGGAGCAAGACTCTTTTCAATGGTGCCCAGTGATAGGAAGAGGGGCAATATGCACAAACTGAAACACAGGCAGCTCCATCTGAACATAAGGTAAAAATTCTTTACTATGAGGGTAACAGCACTGGAACAGATTGCTCAGAGAGGTTGTGGAGTCTCCATCCTTGGACATATTCAAAAGCGATCTGGAAACATTCCTGGTCAATGTGGTCTAGGTGACGCAGCTGGAGGATTGGGCTAGATGATGTGCAGAGGTCACTTCCAACCCCAGCCATTCTGGGATTCTGGGAGCCCTGGACCAGAAGTTTCTCAGAGTGAGAAGAGAGACACAGAATCACACAGAATCGCAGAATGGTTAAGGTTGGAAGGGACGTGATGTATTTTGAATAGTGAAACTCCATCTGTAGCTATGAAATCACTCTTTCTAGAATTTCCTTTAAGGACTCTGCTTCAGAAAGATCTCTCCTTGTTTGTGACTACATGTAAGTTCACCCTCTCTACCAGAGACATCTCTGTTGCAGTCTTCAGCAGAACCAGCACAGTGCCAGAGTGGCTCCTGGGTAGCACAACCCGCCTTGTATTTCTGAACCCAACAGTCACGGAATGGTGATTCAGAATCCACCAGGCACCAAGGCATTTCACCACGTCCTGATGGTCCTCAGGACATGAAACTTTCTCATGATCAGCTAACAGGAGCACTGCTAAGATTTCCTAAGCTATTCAAGTTACGAGATAAGAACCCCAGGTTTCCTTCTCTCTGATAGCAGTGGTGGCAATGAACAACTGCCACATGACGGAGGGGATGGTGGCTGCCTGGCAGGCATGGCTGGAGCCAAACGCACCTCCAGCATCTCCCAGCTGGTGCTGCTGACGCCCGTGGGGGGAGTGGACTGTGTACACACATGTGCTTCCCCCCTGCCAAATGTTGCCCTTGTTTACTCTGCAAGCCTTTCACCAAAGCCCTTCCTGCTTCTCCCCATCAAGATGATTGTTTAACTCTTTTTTGGACACATGCCTTTCTGTGCTCCTGCTCTGAATTATAAACTCTCTCTTTGCTCGGGCCTATCAGCGTAGCTAAAGAGTTATTCAGCTTTGGCTGAGATGAGTGTTTTGGGCAGCAGATCCCCAGCATGTCCCGGTGGTTGTCCAACAGGTGAACATCTTTATTCAGGTACAGTATTCCAAATGTTTCTCAGTTTTTTTCCAGATAGAGGAATACACAAATGATCCCTAGTTACTTTGAAAGGAGTATTTGCCTGGAGACTTCCAAAAGAAGTTCACATTTCTCCCTCTCTTCATTTCCAAAATGGAAATACATTTCCTGGTGAAGACTTTGTGGTGATGATGATGTAGGCTCAGAGCCCCATGAACTACTGTGTTCAACTACGTTGGTTTTCATTCTGCAAGTATAAATCCAGCTACAAGATGTCAAGGAGCAACTTGGCAATGTGGTGAAAGAACTATGTGATAGATCCAGAGACACCTGTGAAGATCCAGAGAGATTTGTGAAATAAGGAAAATCTGTGAACTATTATTTTAAGATTTGTTTTCTTCAGGCCAAATCTGATGTCTTCCCCGGTTCTCGATGTAGCTGTAGTCCAGATCCCACAGGAAGCTCTGACTGGCAAGTTCTAAACAAAATTTAGAGAAAAAAGTCTTGCCTTGCCCAGTACTTGTCTGAGTAGCCGGGCATGTCTCACCGACCAAACTTTACTATGTACATGGAACAAAAAGCCATGATATTTTCTGCATGTATCCCCATGCAAGACTACCATCAATCCCAGAGACAGGTGTCTGCCTCCCATTGCAGCTGAGCTTCCTTCTGCAGCAGCTGGAAGGAATGAGAAATGGATGAGAAAATCTGCCTGAGTTCTTCATCTTCACTATGTGGAGAGGTGCTGGGAGGAAATTTACCCAGCATGAAATTCTAAGGCCAGCAAAAGACCTAAGCGCCACTTGAGTGCTCCTTATGTCTGTTTAGTAGGCATAAGAAGAATAGAAGTGTGTACAGGCCTTTTGCAAGAGTGACAGTCAACCATGGGGAATAGCTGGTACTTATCTTCAGGGGAAGCTCCCTCTGTGAGTTCTGCCAGCACTGCTTTTAGCTTGCTCACTGCATACAACCCAGATGCCTTCCTGCTCTCTGCAGCCCATGACAATATCAGTGGAAAGAGCAGGCAGTAGGCACTAAACCCAATTTACACCCAAGGAGCAGCCTGCAACGACAAGCAAGTTCTTTTACCATTCTGCTGTAGGAATTTGCCCTCCTGAAGCCTAGTAGGTTTCAGAAAACACCATTGGTTATGTTGCCTTGGCTTACAGTATCACAGTGAAAGTGCACATTGCAATGTGTCCACCCAAAGAGCTTGGTTTAGACTGCTGAGACATGTTGAATTTCCATTTTGCAATTTTAACAGAGGAGAATTCACCTAGCATGTAGACTATTTTTTTTTGCCTTAAGTCTCCTTTTTAGAAGTAGATACAGAAAAGCATGGACTCAAAACCAAAGTTGTGTTTACATGAACATCCACCCTCCAAAGCCACTTTTGAAGATATTTTTCATATTATAGAATATGGAAACATGGAAAAACTCAAATCCACTAGGGTACAGTGTTAAGAAGAAACACATGCATCCTGTCATGCTGGTTTATCCTGGTTTCATTCTGACACTGGAGTGCCATAAACTGAGTAGAGCATTGTAGTAAATCTGACTCAGAACATAAGCATTTTGAAGAGTTTCACAATGCTGATAAGAGCTGAAGGAGAATGAGAGAGCTCTCTAATTGCATCTATAAGAGATTGTAAATGAATTGATGAGTCCTAGCAAAATGGAAGCAAAACTAGAAATATAAAAGGGTGGTTAACAGGAGACAGGCAGGTGGAATTGATAGGCAAACACTTCATGAAGGGTTAGCCTTATTTAGCATAAGTTCTTTCTAGCAAAAAGCAGAAGGTAAGCAAAGCTGTCTAGGTTTGAGAGTGTTCAGCAGCTTTCTGAATAAAAAGAGACTGATCCAGGTGTTAGCAGTCACTGTATACAAGTCTTGTTAGAAGAAGCTGCGTGAACTAAGAAGTGTTTTGCATCCCTTGAAGAACTCCTCTCCAAATACCAAGTAGACACGACTCTTGTTAAGTTTTTCAAAACAAAACATCATATAATCAGAGACTCATGCAGGATGAGAGGGACCTCTCATGCAACCTCCTGCTCAAAGCAAAGCCAACACTAAATGCAGACCAGGTTGTCCAAAGCTTTATCCAGTCAGGTCTTGGAAACCTCCAGGGATGGAGTTCCTACAGCCTCTCTGGGGAGCCGGCTCCATTCTTATTTGCTCACACAGTGAGAAATCATTTCCTTGTACCCAGTCTAAGCCTTTCCACTTCTAGTCTCGCTCTCCTGCTATGCATTTATATAAAAAGCCTGTCTCCATTTACTCAGTAACTTCTTCACAAGTGCTGGCAGGCACATAGGTCTCCCCAAAACTTCTCTTCTCCAGGCTCAACAAGCCCAGGCCCATGAGCCTCTCGTCACAAAGTCTGTATACCTTCCCCCAACTCTCCCTTAATGATTCTCCCTTGGACTCACTCAAATTTATCAACATCTTTAGCCTGTCTAGGTCCCTCTGAATGGTAGGCCTCAGACTTATTCAAAACAATATTAAAAAAAAAATCAAGCACACAGACCTCTTCAAGGATCCATCTATACATGTGCTGTCATTATTTCAGCTTGTCACATTATCATATGAATATAGAGAATCATTTTTAAAGGACATGATGATAAGTTAAGAGCGCTAGCATTCAAGAAAGGAGAGCAGTTCAGAACAATGTAACTCCCATCCCAAATGAGCATGGCCTCATCAGCAAGGAATATGAAGGTTTATCCATCCTTTCTTTCTTTCTGTTTCAATTCTGAACAGAAGAAATCTTCCTAAAAAAAGGTTCCATAGTGGCCAAAATTCCTGGTCAAAAAAAAAAAAAAAAAAAAGTTGCTGAACAATATCTGGAAAAGTTTGCCCATCTTTGAAGCAAAGGCACTGGCAACTCTGCACGCTATTGTGCATCATGATGCTCTGCACAGTTCAATATGTCTGTGAAGAAGATCTTAAAAGATTTCAAGATCCCATTAGAACTGCTGAATTTAATAACAAAGTATAAGTGTATTCCTTTCCACCATGTTATCATGCAGAACTAGAACAAGGAAAGTGATAATATATTGTGTTCTGTCTCATATATAATCAACCGATTTGATAGTTGAGCAATAGCTACAGAATCTCTTCTGTTTACCAGGAAAAACAGGAAAAAAAAAGGGTATTAGCTTGAGTCTCATATTCCATGGAAGTTTATGGTGCTGGCAGTTGGGGGGAAAAAATGAAAAAAAAAGAAAAAAAAATCTTTCCTTTTTCTACTGGTAAACTGAGCAGTGCCAAAGTCAGTGCAACCTAATAAAAGTGGAGACAGCAGCACTGCAAGCAGAAAGGCCATTTCAAAGAGGTAGGAAGGAGCCAGCCTCTTCATGGTCAGTGCATACTTTAAACACACTGTCCTGGCAGGTGGCACCAGATGGCACTCTTACACAAAAGCTTCTTTTTGACATAGTCTGCTTGCACACAGAAGATGTATTCAAACTATAAGGAGGTAACTGGTAGGTTTTGAAGGGGTTCCTTGCCTCCTTATTGCAGCCCATGCTGCACCTATGGAAAAGGTTTGATGTCCTTCCATATTGTTCTCGTGGAGGTAAGGGGATAAATGGTCCTGGCATAAAGCAGAGCTTCGTTCACGTTTGATGTAGGTGGCGTTAGGGAAAACCCAGGGCTCATAGCAGCAGGTCTTTCAGACGCGAGCAAACAAGCCCTCGCGGTGCTGGCAAGCAGTCTCAGGGTGACTTGCCCCTGGCCACTCTGTGACCGAGGCGGGAAGCTGCTGCCTCCCGTCGTCCCCAACTGGCGTCAATCCCTGAGGCACAGCAGCCGCTTGGAAATTAGGAGTCAGTGAGATTTCTGAGAGGCAGGATTGGCTGTTCATAATCTCTCTTGCAGACCCTGTGGGTCTCCACACACAAGTGCGGTGCAGTTATATAGAAGCAAATCTTGCTTCTGTGCTGTCTCCTCCACAAGGCAGGCAGCATAAAAGGCTTCAGGCTTCTGCTTAGGAAAGCAGAAGTGGATTTATACAGGTACTTAATGGCTAGAGCCCCCCTCTCCCTGCCTCCCGCTCCTGTGTCTTGGTGGAGGCATCACCTCCACTCCCACTGCGTGGTTGGTGCTCAGAAACACTCCTGGTGCTGCAGTGGGAGTACAGGAGGTGCTAGTACTCTGGCAAGGGAATGACAAGTCCGGATGAAAATCCCTCTGCCTGGAAGCCTGGGCTGTGGAAGGCGCATGTCCTGTGGCCAAAGCTGCTCGGAGGCTGGGGAAGCCCTGAGCGCAGGCAGTGCCTCCTCGCTGAGTCTGGAAGGATCCCCCCACCCATGACATGCAGCCCTTCCCCTTCTTCAAGGCAGCACCCTCCCTGGCAGAGGGGCAGCAGGATTTGCAGCACAAACTTCCACTAAAAGCACAGCTCCGCTTGCTCAGGCAGGACAGCAAAGAGCCTGAGGGCAGGCTTCCCGGAGCGGCGGGACTCAGGGCTCGCATGACTCCACAGGGAGGCTGGGCAGTTTCCTTAGAGCCAACAATGTCTCTTTGGTTTCTTGGGACTGGCAATAGATTTTTCTCTCAAGTCACTTTTGCCCCTCACCCTTTTCTCCAAAGTAAATCATCAGCTCTACCAGGTGGGAGATGCTTCATCTCCCAAATGCCACTCTGCAAAAAAGTTATAAGCACATGGAAAGCAGCACTGAGCTGAAAGGTCTCCCGACACCTCCCGGCCGTGCCTCCCGCGCTGTCCGAGCAGAGCCGCAGCAGGCTGTGCGCTCCCCCTTGCACCGCACGCTTCTGCCCAAGGCAGGAGCTTTAAAAACAGAGCATTTTAAGAAGAAACATAAGGAATTCTCAGCGGGCGTCTCTG